CAACAATGATTCATTCTTGAGATAAGTTAGATTTTTACAGCATCTTAACACTGTCTATACCTGAGGATTCTAGGATTCTACCCCAAGTGATTTGAGGTGTTTCAGCAAGAGTCCTCTTCCTCTCATCTCCCGTTGGCAGTAACCAAAGGATTTACATGCCTGTCTCCTCAAAGTGTCTTGAAATGAGACTGTGCCAGCGGGTCATGGCTGTTCTATATGCATGTGAGAGAAACAGCAGCTATCTGAAGAGGATAGATTGATAGTAACTAATCTGATGCCACATGACATCGTGGCTGAAGCCTGCTTTCATGTGGGCTTCACAGTGGTCCTTTGAAAGAACTGTCTGTTCTGAAAGGCAGCCCTGTGATAAGTGCTTGGTGGTGAGGGTTTTGGTTTGGACTGGAGAGAGAGGTGACCCTTGGTCCTCAGTGTAGTTTTGTTCTCTATCCTATCACCAATTTTGTCCTAAGATAATGACACTCTCCTTTCAAAAAATATTTTGCCTGTATTCCAACGGCTTTTTGGGCTGTTAGCTGAGTTTTATACCTTTTTCCTTTAAAAATATTTTTTATTTTCAAAAAAGAAATCAGAGAAGATAAAATTTACCACCTTAATGCTTATAAATAAACATTTCAGTCATGTTTAGTATAGTTACATTGCCTACCAATATGATTTTTATTTAGTTATTTGGCAGCTTCCTACATGTATATAATATAATGCGTTTGGTTTCTCTCTCTTATCTCACCCCACCAAAGCCCCCTTCTCCCCACTAGTTCTGTTCCTGACTTTGGTTTTGTTGTGTGACTCATGTTTAATCAGAGCCATCTGTGTGGTTGTTGGATTTGGGGTTATCCATTGGAGCCTAGTTCTCAGTGGGCATACAGCGAGAAGGAAGTAATTCTCCTCTTGCCTTGAATTTGTCCATTAGTTAAGCAGTGAGGGGTCGGATCCCCACTCCTGAATCCCTCCTCTATTTTTTGCCCAGTGTAATGTTTTTGTTTGTGTACTAACACTTCATAGTCCTTTCAGATCAGAGAGTTTATTTATATTGAAATAAGCTAAACAAAATTGATTTTCCTCACCAAAGTGACAACAGTATTTCCCATGTTATTTCTAGATAAGCCTCAAAGCATTTATTTTTGTATGTTTTGCCTTTAAATCAAGATAGCTTCTATCATCAACAAAGAAGAAAATGCACGGGTCAGTTGGCAGTGTTAATGGCCTGACTGGGTGGACTGGAGCAGAGCAAGATGTGTCCATGGAAAAGCTTAGGAGACATACAAGCAACTCAGTTGCAGGGCACTTTTCTCATTTTAATCATAAATGCTGAGTTAAGTTTTTTTGTTTTGTTTTGTTTTTTTAAAGAATACCCTACTTTTTAATCACCCACTGGAGCTTTCACGAATGTAGTCATTGATATTCCCCTCTCATGTCGTAGTCATTGTTCTGTCAATGTGAAAGGACATCATGACCCAGGCAACTCACATAAAAGAAAACATTTAATTGGGGCTGCCTTATAGTTTCAGAGGCTTAGTCCACTGTCATCATGGTGGTGAGCATGACAGCAAGCAGGCATATGGCTAGAGAATAGCTGAGAGCTAAAACCTGGTCCACAAGCAGACAGAGAGAAACATTGGACCTGGGGCATGGGCTTTGGAAACCTCACAGCCCATCGGCAGTGACACACTGCCTCCAAACCTTATAATCCTTTCAAATAGTGCCACTCCTGGATGACTGAGCATTCAACTATGCTGGCCTCTGGGGGCTATTCTTATTCAAATCACCATACTACTGGAGTAGTAACTTTTTTTTTTGATTCTGCCCTTCTGTGAGTCACAGTGTACACTTTGTGAAGCTCCAAGCCCTGAAACTGAGTAGAGTAAGATTGGAAACTGTTGTTTGGCTATTGGAAGTTACTAGGGCGTAAGTAAGATTTTCCTTCCATAGTCTCAAACTAAAATAAGCAGATTACCAAGATGTTTCCACCTTGCTAATTACTGTTTGAAATAAGCCAGGATGAATAGGAAAAACAGAGTGAAAATGTTATGATTCTGTATGTGTGTATGTATTTGCCTGTATGAGCACAGGTGTGTGAAGGTCAGAGGTCAGTGCCAGGTATCTTTCCCAGCTGCGGTCCATCTTGGTTTCTGGGACAGAATATCTCAGTGAATCTGGAACTTGTTGACTGGCTAGGCTGACTGGCCAGTGAGCCCTCCAAGGATCCTCCTGTCCCTGCCTCCCTAGCTGCATCAGAGTCAATTCGCTCACAAGTAGACCTTCAGTTCAAAGGTAGGGGAGAGGAGAAGAGAGCCTTGTGCTCTTACAGATTCAGAAGAAGAGAGGATCCTGGGATTCAGATACAAGGTAGACTCCCTTGAGGAGTGGGGTCATGGGAGATGCCCTGTCTCATCCTGCTGCCTCAGGAGTGAGAGTCTGTTCATAATTTATAGCGCTTTATCTCGGTCCTGGGAGAGCTTTTGAGCTGAGCCACCTTGCTTGTACAACACAAGGAAGGTGCCAAAATGTGGGCTGGTGGGATCTGTTAGGACGGTAACTCCAGTGTGTAGTCTCCACTTTCTCTGATGTTGGTATGCTGGCTCCGAGAGCGGGACAGAGCTATTCCAGGGAGGTCTTGACTTCAGAGGGAGTTGTGGTTTTCACCAGTTCACTGTAGTGTGTTGACCTTTTCATTGCACTCTTTATTGGACGTAGGAACGGATCTTGGAACTGTGCTTCTTCAAAGTCCCACCCCACCCCCCCCCTGCCCGCACATACATGCATGCACACACGATCCCTTTACAGCTGTGTTTTCATCATTTAGCTGTCCGAGATGAAGTCTCCTGGGCTTGGCTGTCCAGCATGACTACTAGAAGCTACTCTCCTGCCTCAAACATTTCACTAGCCTTTTGCATGTACACTAAAAGGCGGGCTCCTCCTCATGGCTGGCAGATCCCGAATCTCCTCTCTTGCAACATTTTGTCTTGATATTTTCCATGCACACTAGCTGTTATTTGCCCTGACAGTGGCCGATGAACACTTACTTACCTTTTCCAGGAAGCTCTTAGAATTCATGCCTGGAAAATACTCCCTGAACAATGAAATCATCATCAGAATACTACTTGGTACCACTTACTGAGATTTTCTGTAGCCCAAATACTGTTCTAAGTGCTCTCCAGACATACTGTCCCATGAACTTAGAAGCAATAAGCTTGTGAAATTGGCATTCTGGCCTTCTGTTTTTTAGATAGTAAGTGTGGCCCTAAAGAATGAAGTGTCCTAGATTCATGGTGTTAATGTGTTGTAGAGCCTGGCTTAAAGTCTGTCTGATTTTAGACCCGTTTTCTGGTACTGAAGATTCAGAAGTATTTTGTCACGGTTAGATTGCAATGATTTCTCGGTGGACACTCTCAGAGCACACTGCAAAGTGAGCCTGAAAATCAAAGGAAACATTAACATGACCTCATTATCTTCTGAGCAAGAAACTTTTCTCAGATTTTCTAGCTTATTGATAATGTAGGGTATTATTATCAAACTTGCAAATAAACCCTCAGTAGCACATGGTGTGTGTGGGGGGTAATGCCCTGGGTGTTTGAGATACTCCCTGGCAGTTCAGTGGAACAAGTTTTAGAACTCCAGTTCTGCACTGTTTCTTGGGGCTTCATTGTAGCCTTATTATTCTTGAATTGAATTCAGAATAAGTGTGAACCATCCTGGCCCCCTCTTGAAGACAGTGTTGTGATATGTCTTCTGAGGACAGTCTTAGAGGCAGGCTCCAGAGTAGTCTGCCTCACTCTTTCTTTTCTCTTTGTCTTCTAATTAAAGTGAAACATTAACTTTTTATCACACGTAATAAACTCAGGGACTTTGCATTTTAGTACAGACTGTAAAATAAGTGAATTGCATCGTGGAGTGTCTGGTGGGGAAGCACAGAGAGTAAGAACACACTGTCGTATGGAACAGGTGGTCGTTGAGATGAGTCTCTCTGAGATCAAGGCTTGACCTCTGCCTCCAAACTCTGCCGCATTGGTGACCCAGTCTTCACCATGTGGGCCTTTGAGGGACATTTCAGATCCAAACCTGCCTACCTTTGTATGTCCCAAATACGCTTTTTGTTGTTGTTGCATGAAGGCCTTTCATGGAGGCTTCTTCCTTCCTTGACTCCCACTAGGTTAGCTGATGCTTTCCGTGCTGGGCTACCACACTTCCGTGTTTGCTGTAATAACAAACATCTAACAGTGTATGTTGTTTGTCACACTAGCCTGTCTAGTATATCCTGCTCATATCCCCTTTGTACAAATGAACATGAAGAAGTTAGTAACTTGCCCAAGTTCATCAGTTACTTGTATTGAAGCTAGGAACTAAACATGTATCTGGTTCCAGAGGCCGTTTGCACATGACCTCGCACCTTTGACAATCTCACTACATGTAAGCTGTGTGGAAGGCACACACTCTTGCAGATGTGAGCTTATGTGTGTGCCTCTCATACTGTCTACGGATGCATTTGCTAAATTATATTTGTTCCTTGACAATTTCATTGATGAGTTCTGGCTTTCTTCATCCCTATTTTCTTTTATCTTTCTTTACTCTGCCCCCACCCCAATCTCTTCCTCACATTCATATCTTTTTGTTTTGTTTTGTGACCCCCAGAGTTTAAACAGGGCTGTCTGTGTGGCCTTGGGTTTGGAACTGTTCTGTGGAGCCTGGTGGATTCACCAGTGGGTACACAGCTGAAGACAAGGACTCTGTCTCCCAGAGTCTTTTCAGTAGCCAATTCTACCTGTAAATTCTTTGAGAACCATGTGAAATTTACTTCTGCTTTCTGGTACTTTATGTACATTCTCTTGATTGACCTGCGATATGAACAAAATGTTTTCTCTTGTAATTTGTAAGGTGTTAGCCAAAGTCTTCTGAATTCTAATGGGCATGGGTCATTGGTTCTGAATGGGACTTGGTTTTGAGTTTGATTTTCATCTTACCGTTGTGCTCTCTTTTGTCCCCAGACCAGTATTAAGGAAGGACAGCTGCTGAAGCAAACCAGCTCTTTCCAAAGATGGAAGAAGAGATACTTCAAACTTCGAGGCCGTACACTTTATTATGCAAAGGACTCAAAGGTAACTCAACAAGACTGGTTCCAAGCACTGTGTGTCATGACTAGATGGAAACCTTTGATTGTACAAGCTGCATTTGTCTTGGAGCCTCATAGCTTATCTGTCCTCACATGGATTTATTATAAATGTGGTCATCCTTCAGTCCACCCCAAGGGGGAGCTATCGAGTCATATGGGTGGCTAGTCTAGCATAGTTTGATTCTCTTATTTCCCTCTAATTAAGTTCTAAATAACTTAGAATAAATTCAAAACTTTGGGTTTCCTCTTTCTTCCCTCTTAAATCTTTTTCTGACTATAAGAAAGTGAGAGTTGTTACAGCTGTTAGGAATTTACATCCTAGGGACAGATAGCTGTAAGTTCACAGCTCAACTCATGCCCAGACCACAGTGTGCCCTGAGACTGTCATGTGCTACTGAGAGAAGCTTAAGACCATACCTGCCGAGTGCTTTCACAGTCCCGGGCACAGATAATCTCTTCATTATGGTAGCAGTTAAGAGTGAAAAATCACATCATAATAAAATTGAGGCTTAAAATAATTTTTATATAACAGTTGAATGAAATCATAATGTAGTTTGGGAAGAAGATCCCTATTAAAACTAATATTTTCATGTTGCCTGAAAAGAAAACATTAAGATGCCAGAGGAACAATCATTTCCATTTTTAACAATGCATGTTCCTGATGTAATCAGTAGAGTCATTAGTAGAAGCTGAACAAAACAACCAGTCAGCAAACCTAATTCTTGGATTGTGGAACAGCAGTAGAAGGAATGACTGAATACTCAGGTTAAAGTCATAACAAAATCAAGTAATCTTATTTTAAAAGTCTGATGTTGCCTGTTGTCCCTGGTCCGGCTCCATTGTGTCTTTGCACATTCCTCTGTAGAAGCATCAGCTTCTTGATTACCTTGATTTGACTGTGTGTCCCATTAAGATGCTCTCAAATCGTCCCATGTATGAGATGATGCATTTGTTTTCTGCTGAGAAAATTGTTGGCGACTTTCCATAGCATTTCCTTGTGACTCCAGTCCTCCATGTTTAAGAGTCTCTCTCACACTGCAGTGAGCTTTGTCTGTTTCATGTACCAGCCATATTGTACAACCCTTCCAGTTTGGGAGCATATCTAGTCGAATTAAAGTGAATTAATAAAATTATAGTAAACTTAGCATAACCTCCTTAACATAACTCCCTGGGAGTTGGGAGAGTAGAAGCTATCAGAAAGGGGAGACATGTTTCTCTGCAGCCCTGGAGGAAAGTGGTTACTCCACTTGTGCTGGAAGCCCACTGGCTTGAAAGCTGAGCAATGAACAACTCACTAAAAATTGGAAAGACTCATTTATTTATTCATATTTACCAATGGATAATTTGTTCCTTTAAACAAAAATCATATATTTTTTTTTTCTGGAGCTTTCACCACTGACACTTTTTGATTAAATAAGTGTGTAAGAGTGTGAGAGAAACACGGTATTCTGTTTGCAGAGCAGTCGTGATGGGGGTTGTCCTATGTTTCTCTTATTGGTTGATGAATAAAGCTGTTTTGGCCAATGGAATTCCCAACAAAGAGGCAGGGAGAGGGGAGGCACCATGTAGCTGCCGCTGGGGAGGAAGGACACCAGGGAGTCACCTAGGTAAGCCAAGGCCGTGTGGCGATACACAGATTAATATAAATGGTTAATAATTAAGAGAGAGCTAGCCAGTAAGAAACCTAAGCCAATGGCCAAACAATTATACATATGTATTAAGTCTCTGAGTGGTTATTTCGTATCGGCTATGGGGACCCCGTGGGCAGAGAGAAACAGGTCCAGTAGGACCCAGACAAGACAAAGAAAAGTCTCCCTTTACACGGTCACCATCTTATTTGGACACGTTTTGGAAGGCAAGGACAATAAGGTCCAGAGCATTCAGTAAGTCACCATGATCTGAGCCAGGTTTTGTTCTCAGTCTCCACTCAGCAAACCTGTGGGCAATGATGCCTTTGACTGCCTGCAGACTTGTCTCAGGCTTTAGCGTGTGGGAGAATGAGTGTGTGTGTCCTTCAGTTGGTTCTCATAAGATAGCAGAGAGGCTCCAGAAGACAACGTTCATTTGTGCAGAAGCTACATAGGGTAGCCATGTTGAATGGATTCGTTCTTCCTGAGACAAGCTTGTGGAGTGGCCCCAAGTTAACATTCATGTTTGATTCTTGATGTCACTTTCATCTTCATTGTCATGGGCCGATAGTGAAAATGTACTGAAGAGCCGGCTTTCTACATAATGAGTTTGTGTTCTTGTCCACCAACAGTCCTTGATATTTGATGAAGTCGACCTCTCAGATGCCAGTGTCGCTGAAGCAAGCACAAAAAATGCCAACAACAGCTTCACGGTATGGTTCTGTTCAGTTGTCTGTTCCAGGGCTGTGGGGTGGCATTTTTGAAGCATGCGTAGATGTTCAAGTCAGTCCTTACTGACACAATTAACTCTAATAAATGTTTTACATTCTAACACCAAATATATGCTCCGTTATTGGCTCAGTAAACTTGGGTTTAAATGTGTTTTTCAAATATGTATTTTTGAATATGTACATTTAAATATATTCTTACCTCTCTTTCTCTCTCTCTCTCTCTCTCTCTCTCTCTCTCTCTCTCTCTCTCCACACACACACACACACACACACACACACACACACACACAAAATGGCTCATATCTATAATCCTAACACTTGGGAGGCTGAGGCAGGAAGAGTGCCGTGAATGTTAGGGCAGCCTGGGCTACACAATGAGACTGTTTCAAATAAACAAACCAGCAAGGACTGTTTTCCTTTTCACTTTAATTTTTTTGTTGTTGTTTTGGTTGTGCAATGTTTTACTCTTGGTTTTTGAGGGCCCACCACCCAGCTGCCAGATAAATAACACACAGAGGCTTATTCTTACTTATGGACACCTGGCCTTAGCTTGACTTGTTTCTAGTCAGCTTTTCTTAAATTATCCCATCTACCTTCTGCCTCTAGGCCTTTTCCTTTTCTTCTGTATATCTTTCTTTCATTCTTACTCTGTGCCTGGCTGGGTGGTCCTCCCCTTCTTCTCTTGTTGCTCCCCCGTTCCTCCTTTTATTTATCCCTTTCGACTGCCAGACCCGCCTATCCTTGCTGCCATCTTGCTATTGGCTGTTCAGCTCTTTATTAGACCATTGGGTGTTTTAGACAGGCAAAGAATCACAGCTTCATGGAGTTAAACAAATGCAGCATAAACAAAAGTCATACAACTTAAAATAATTTTCCCCAACAGTTTTGTTTTTTCAAGACAGATTTTTCTGTGTAGCTCTGGCAGTCCTGGAACTTGCTCAGTAGACCAGGCTGGCCTTGAGTCACAGAGATCTGCCTGCCGCTGCTTCCAGAGCACTGGGATTAAAGGCACCACTGACTGGCTCCTTTTTATTTTTTGCTTTTTGTGTTTTTAAAGCTTTTACTTCCTTTAAATTAATCCTTTATTTAATTCTATTGTTCTTAAGTTTTCAAGACCTTTGTTATTTATCTACTGTCTTAAAAACCAATATTTTCTCCTCTTATTTTTATAGCCGTTGCTATAGTTCAGGCTTTCATTTCTCCTCACTTAGGTAATTCATCAGGGAACTTTGGAAGAGGACTCTTCTGTTCCGGCCTATTTTCTAATCAGAGGTTGCATTGCATAAAGGGACTAGCTTGTTCGCCCTCACCTGCAAATTGCATCTCCACTCAAAAGAATAAAAAAGATCTTGTGTGGTCCTTCCCAGTGTCCTGATGTTGGCCATCCACACCCTGCCGCCCAGCATACTATGTCCCAGCTTTCCTGTTCCCCAACTGGTTTCTTTCTTCCTGCAGTTGTTGAAATTCTACCTCTTTTCCCATTTCTCTGTCTCTTTCATTTACAAAATCAAAGTATAAATTGACTTCCTATTATATCACTGGCATTTATGATAATTAGAGAAATGCCGCATAGGCGATATCTTTATCTATCTATTTGCATATGTAAATCTCCCTCTAGATTTCCCTTAGTTCAGGGAGCTCCTGTGGCTCCTCTGCAGCACCACACTCCTAGGCTGCCCTGTAATGCATTGCTTTTGCTAAGTCGTCACACCTACGCACTTCCAGCCCTCACAGGGAAGTCGCTGGTGCTGACACCAGTGTCTGTCCCTTAGATGCACAGAGCCGGGGAGACAGGTAAGCAAACAGAGAGGACCATGATAGAGGTGAGCTCTGGTATGGAGATGAGTGGGGAGAGGAAGCAAATAAATTCAAATTTAGTCTTATTGATTTATGGGCATGTGGATAATTCATAGTGTAAACAGTGCTTTGCCGCTCCTTCTCCCCGGGGAGAGTTTAGTTTGAGAAGAGGAAAGCCAAGAATAGAATCCTGGGAAAATGTTAAAATGTAAGGTTTGACTGGAGGACTGAGTGAAGAAGTGGAGTCACCAGCCGGTGATGTCATAAGAACCAGCGTCAGAGACTTTCAAGATGGAAGTCGCCAAATGTCAGGTGCTGTGGAGAGGGCAGGTCCAGGAGGAATTGAGAAGGTGACTTGGGTTTGTGGACTTGGGGCTCGTTCATGTGGTCACGTGGTTGTGAGTGGTTTCCAGGGCAGGGTGGCATGCATCAGGCTGCACAGTTAATTCGGAGTGAGACCAACAGGCTCTTATCTGAGGCTTCGGTGTTGGAAGCACAGATTGATGGGAGCATTGTGGTTTCTGTGTTCCTTTTCACTTGGCTTTTGAGTGTGTTTATATGAGGAACGGAAGGAGCTATTAGATGGGGCAAGATTGCTGAGTGAGCCAATGGATGTAAGAACGGGGGCACAGTGTGAGCACCGAGCCGGGATGGAGGCAGGTGTGGGCAGCAAGCATGTGTATTTCAAGCCCAAATAGTATCATTTTCTCAGTGAAACCAAAGACCAGGTTGTGTGGCTCTGAGTGGGAGATTGGGAAGGCTTAGAATAGCTTCTGTGGAGAGCGGCATGGAAATAAACCATCAGGGACCTGTAAACTATGTCCACTAAAGACTGGCTTTAGTAATGCCCATGCAATCTGTGCTTATAGAATAGTCTTGAAATTAATAGAGAGCAAACAAATAGATTGATCCAGAGCAGTGGTTTATAAGACCTTGGGGCAGAGGGGTAACGGTGATGCTGGATGCTTGGAACACCAGTGGCTTATAGCTTAGGCTGCTCTGCTTGAGGATAAAACAGCAGAAGGCAGAGATAGCCTTGCTGTTATCTGAGCAGGCTCTGTAAACATGAGACACTTGGGCTTCCAAGGCTAAAGTATTGCTTATTATTCAATCCTCCAAATGAGGGTGGGCTTGGCTAAGATAGAAAGTACCTTGCTAGTCCTACCAGTGGGACTAGCCATTTGCCTTCCTCTGGTAATGAACATTTTTTTTTTAAATCAAAGAGGGCTAGAGTTAATCTGAAGGAAGGTCCTAAAGTTTACAGTGTTAGATAATTTCAGGTGAAGGGAAAATGTGGGGCTTAGAGCAGATACAGGCAAAGGAAATGGAAAAGCCTGCGTTTGCAGGGATCATGCAAGCCGTCTGTGCAACTATTCTTTGCCCGCCAGCTGCGTTTGTTTTCTCCTATTGTAGAGAGAACTTGCCCTAGACTGCTGTATGCCTAGGTAAGTCTCTATTTTTATCATGGCCCCATGAGGGCAGAAACTGTGTCTCTTTGTACTGGGTAACACCTTACTCATAAGTGTTCCTTGGTTTTGATACACATGATCAGATTGTCTCTCAGCATGAGAAGACTTGGTGCCTTGGATATGTCATCACCCAACTGTTCTTTCTGAAGTTTGTTAGACTGGAGAGGTAGAGGCTGAAAAGTTTAGGCTGCTTAGCATTGTGCTACAGTAGAAACTGGGTAGAACTTTCCATGTCATAAAATGGAGCAAAAGGCATGTTTTCAAGTGGTAATTGACCGTCTTCCTGCTGAAATATTTAAATATCCTGCCCTCTTAGATCAGCTTCACTGCTACTGACACCGCTATTTTAGCTGGTTCGTGTCAGAGGTTAATGGTGCAGTGTGATGGGATTGCGGTTGGAGACTAGGAGTGGCCAGTTTCTGGTCTTCTTGAAGTCCCTAAGGGTGATATATTGACAAGAAATGGTGGTACGTGGACAATCTATAAATAGTTGGTGGAAAACTTACGCTTTGCCTGAAAATGAATGCTCAACCCTGCTAAGATGGCTCATATAGAAAGTGTCCTACTGAGCTGTATCAGGGTTACTTCTGCATCCGTGTTTGAGTCCCACTGAGGCACATGGCACCAAGACAGTAGAGCCAGGAGATTGTGGGTGTGGTATAGACCTGTGTACACTGTGCATAGTGTCTTACAGAGTCTTCCAATCCATGTTTTACTTTCATATCCTGGGTACTATCTTATGAGTAAATTAGGTTGGTGTTCATTAGGTTGTTTCTAGTGCAGAGCTTATGAGCTTAGGTTATGAAGTCAAAGAGCCTAGTTCAGCCCTGTTATGTGACCTTGGCCACATTAGTAGTTAATCCCTTTAAAGATATCTACAGTGGTGGAGTAAGTACCTGCTTCCTAAGGCTCTCGATATCAAATTAATGTGATAACATATCAAATATCTAGACAGTGATGAGCACCTGCAGTTTAGTAGATGGTAGTTATCCTGAATGTAGTGCCCATCATTCCCCCTTATGATTGGCAGGATATGGCCAATTTCTGAAAGTTGGGGAATTTTGAAGGTTATGGAGATGAATTCCTTCTTAAGGAAACATTCCATCTGCCTTTCTTTGAGAGGTATAAGGACGATCTTTCATCCTATGTTAATGAGCATGGTTGAGAAAAGCAACCAATTAGCAATGAGATGGCAATCACAGATGGTTAGGGTAATGTCATTTACCAGTGAAGGGCTTTCAGGTGATTGAAACTTTACTCCAGACACAGCTCCCACAGCTGTTTAGATGAGTCTCTTTAAACCTAATGGAGATTAAGATAAACTTCAGACAAATGAATGATCATTTTAAAGACACTGTATTGGCATTTAAGTCTTCATCTGAAATAACTGGCCAGGCTTTGTGGCATAGGCCTGTAATCCCAGTTGAAGGTTAAGGCAGAAGACTGTCAAGCTCAAGGCCTGCTTGGCTGCAGGACAGTTCAGAGCTAATTAAACTGGGCAACTGCATAGGACCTTGTCTCACAATAAAATGTAATATAAAAGTGCCAGGAGGCTGTCTGTCTGGGAGAGAACTCTTCTGGAGGATGTAGGGGGCCTGAGGCCTCATCCCCAGCATTGGGAGTGGTTGGGTGGCAAAAGATGGCAGAAAAGAGCATGGAATATCTGTTTGTGTGCTTATATGTTTAACTCAGAAGGGATGCAGAGATGCTTTGGTT